CACGCCCAGAGCGAGTGGCGCGGCCAGCCCCGCCGGCAGGGACAGCGGCGGCTGCTGCGCCGGGTTCCAGCGGCGGCGCGGCGCAGTGCAGGTACCAGAACGGGTCCAGCGGGTCAAGGGTGCGAGGCAATCAGGGGCCTGGGTCACCAGGCGGTGGCTGCGCGCTCCCCAGGTGAAGGCGCGGGTGGGGCGCGTCCAGCAAAATGCTGGGCCGGCGGAGGCGGCGGGCGGCAAGACCAAGCCCAGGGCCCAGCGTGGCGGCTGCAGGCAACCACCCAGCGCCATGGCGGCGCGCAGAGGGAGGGAGAGCGGGCGGGGAGGGCAGAAGCGAACAGGGAGGAGGACACCCCGCCTGCAGAAAACCCACAAGCAGGGCTGCGGCGCTGGGCAGCAGCGGCGGCGCCGGGCTGCACCAGACGCTGCGCTGAGGGTAAAAAACAGGGGGCAGCGCGCTACCCTCCAGCCAGCGGGTGGCTCGCGGGGGGCTCCTACTGCCCAGGTGGACAGAATGAGCCAGCCCGCGAGCGGGAAGTCCGGGAGAGCTGGTAACCGGCGGCAGCGCCCAGTGGAGCCGACTGGGAGGCAGGGGCAGGTCCCCCAAACGGGGGGCATGGGAAGGGGGGGCACCTAAATGGGGCTGCGATGTAAATGTGAGAGGCAGTCCCCCTGTCGGGGTGGACAGGGTGGACCGATGGGGGGGGCAAAGGCGGCCACCACCGTCTGGGTAAACGGCAGTAGGCGCACCTTGGCCGGTCAAATCTGCGGCCGAAGCCAGCGCCCCAAGCCCAAGCGGGCGAGGGGGGCGGGCAGGGGGGGCACCTAACCGGTGGTGCACGGCGATGGAAGCGCGAAAGGCGGCCCCCCTGCCTGGGTGGACAAGTTGGGCCGTTGGGGAGGACAAGAGCGGCCACCACCGTCAAGGTAGACAGCAGTGGGCGCGCCTTGGCCGGCCAAAGCTGCGGCCGACGCCGGCTCCCCAGGCCCGAGCGGGCAAGGGGAGCAAGTGCCAGGCGCCAAGCCATTGCCAAGCAGGAAAGGCACAGATCCGACGCACACTTCCTACACCTCCTACACCTCCTACACCTCCTACGCCTCCTACACCTTCTACACCTCCTCCTCCTCCTCCTCCTCCTCCTCCTCCTCCTCTTCTTCTTCTTCTTCTTCTTCTTCTTATTATTATTCTTTTTATTATTACTCTTCTCTTATTAGTATTATTAGTATTATGATTCTTATTATTCTTATCAGTCTTCTTATTCTTATTATTATTCTTATTATTATTCTTTTTCTTTTAGTATTAGTCTTATTATTCTTATTATTAGTAATTCTTCTTCTTACGAATACTAGTATTCTTCTTAGCATTATTATTCTTACTGTTAGTATGAGGTTTCTTATTAGTCGTATTATTACGCGTACTATTATTAATACTAGTGTGATTAGTATGATCGTTATTGTTAGTATTACGATTATTGTTATTACTAGTAGTAGTATTATTACTAGTATTAGTATTCTGATTCGTATTAGTAGTGTTACTAGTATTACCATTGTTATTATTATTATGATTCCTCTTCCTCCTCGTCCTCCTTCTCCTCCTCCTCCTCCTCCTACTCCTCCTCTTCCCCCTCCTCCGCCTCCTCCTCCTCCTCCTCCTCCTCCTCCTCCTCCTACTCCTCCTCCTCCTCCTCTCCAACCCCCCACCCCCCCCCCCGCTCACTCCCTAACCCTTTTCATCCTCCCACGTATGTCTGCACGCAGTGCTCACAGTCGCCCCCTGCATGTCCAAACACGAAACACACCCCGGCCCGCGCCACTCCTCGGGCCTGCCTCCCCCCCACACCGAACTCTCGGACTGGCTGAACTCCAAGGCCGCACCGCACCCACCCCTCTTGTCCCGAGCCCAGAGCGGCAGCAGTGCGACGCCTGCAGCGAGGAAGGCGCCCAGAGGGAGAGGCGGGGACAGGAGGGAGGGTAGGAAGCTATAGACATGAGGAACAGTAGCACGAGGGAGAGGAGAAGAAGGGAGAAGAGGAGGAGCACCCCGTGGTTTCGACGAGCAGTCCTCGGTGGCCGCCGACCGACAAGTCCCCGCGCTCGACTACGCGGGGCTAGAAGGAGGAGGAGGGCGAGAAGAAGGCCAGAGGGATAAGGAACAGGAGCAGACTAGTGCAGGGCTCGTGTCCTTACAAGCTCAGCGCCTGGCCCGCGCCATGCCCACTGGTGTGGCAGGCCAAACCCGCCGCCCCCCCCTTCTTGCGCGCGCAATACGTGAAAGCTACGACAAAAGAGAGAGGAGCAGGACGGGGAGGAGCGAGATCGGCCGACGAAGGGAAGTTCCGAGAAGGTCGAAAAGGAGGAGGAGGAGGAGGAGGCGGAGGAGGAGGAGGAGAACAAAAACGGGCGGTCACTACGACTTCTGCTCGATGCGCCTGTTCCACTGAAGCGCCTGGTTCACCGAGGCGAACCAGTCCTTCGAGTCCGTCTCGCGGCAGATCGCCGGGACGGGGTGGGAGGACGTCGTGACGAGCACGGAGTCGCCGACCTGGAGACCGCAGATGTCCTTGCCGTCGAGGCTCATGTTCACGCCCGCCCTAGCAGAGAGCGGCACGATGACTATGACCTCTGCCGAGTCGGGCAACAGTGCGGGCCGGAACGAGAGCGAGTGCGGTGCCACCGGCGTCAGCAGCATGCCAGGCACTGCGGGGTGCACCATGCTGCCACCGCACGCCAGGGAGTAGGCCGTGCTGCCCGTGGGAGTCGCCAGGATGATGCCGTCACCCTGAACCAGCGTCACGCGCTCGCCGTCCACACGGACGTCGAGCTTCGCCAGCATGTTAGAACGACCACGGTGCACGAGCATCTCGTTGAGGCAGGAAAACTCGGCGCGGCTGAGATCCTGCTCGGCCTCGCGGTCATCATGCCCGTTGGGGCCCCTTCGCACTCTCACGCGGAGACGCATGCGGCACACGAGAGGCACGGGCGCTCCGTCGGGCGCCACAGCCTCGAAAATCCAAGAGAGCGTCTGCTTCCACTTCTCGAGCGGAAAGGGCGTGAGGAAGCCCAGGGACCCCGCGGCAAACGACAGGACAGGCGGCATGGGCCCTTCGAAGAGCGACGCCGCCCACGTGAGCGTACCGTCCCCTCCGATCGTGACGACAAGGTCGATGGAGTTGAGGAGGGCCTCCTTGTCCGAGAAGGTCCTCAGGCCGTGGATGCTGCCGGTCACAACAGGCCACTCCTCCAGGAGCTTCGGCTCCAGAACCACCGTCATGCCCCTCGCCGCAATCCAGGCGCCCATCTCCTGGACGGTCCTCAACGACTGCCTCTTCTCGTGCCTGGCCACCAGCAGCACGGTCAGCGGGCGCTCCTGCCACCGCATCACGAAGCGCTGGGACACGGAGCCGCCCTCCAGCGAGAGCCCGCCCCGCACGGCCACGTCCCTCGCCAGCTCCCTCCCAGAGCGCTGCAGCAGCCAGGGGCGTGCGCACCCGGGCTCGAGCAGCGGCACCCTCGGCAGCCTCGCAGCAGCAGCCGCCCCGAAGCGCCTCCCCTGGCAGCGCCCCCCGCACGCGGCGAGCGACGCCCCCGCCGGCGCCCGCGCCCAGCCCGGCGGGGGCCGCGACGAGGTGGCGCCGCCTCCTGGCCCTAACGCGCCAGCGGCCGCGGCGAGGCCGGCGCGGCCTCGGCGCTGCGAGCTCGCCTGGGCGCCGGAGCCCGCCAGCCGCAGCATGCCGCTGCCGGCGGGGGGCGCCAGCTGCGCACGCCGCCTGCACAGGTCCTGGCCAAGCCCGCCCTGGGCCCGGGGGGGATCGGCGCACAGGCCTTGGCCAGCTGAGGGCGTCTGCACCAGCCTGGGCCCAGGGTGGGCCTGGCCCAGATCGGTGCAGGCGTGTAGAAGTCGGCGCCCTCCGACACTGGGGCCCGCGCCCTGGTAAGTCAGCCCTCCTCCGTGACGACCCCCCCGCCTCGCTCCCGAGACGTAGGCAGGCGGCCTGAGTGGAACCTCGATTGGAGGTCTGGAGGTTGGCACCAACACCAACACAGGGAGTGCCTCCACTGGGGGAAGATGATCCTACAGTTTGGTGCTGGTGGCAATCTTTCGGCCACCCAAGAAGCCTGGATATTACCACCATCACCGAGATGGATACATCGTTTTCCCTCGGGGGAGGCAGCCGCTGATATTGGTGCTGGCACCTGCCTCTAGGAGAGCATTTTTCATTTACTGGCCCCGGCCGCCCCCCTCCCCACCCCTCCCCAGGTAACGTCACGATTCGTGCTGACCTCCGAGCTGGCGTTGGCTATTCCTAGACATTCCCAGATGGCGCCTGCGCGAAACGTAACGATACAGCCCCCCTGGTAACGCACGTTATCGCCCAGGGATTAAAAATTAGCCTGGCGAAGGACCCAACCATATGCAGCTGTGAGTACCGCAATAGTGAACATCTTCTTCGGCGCGGCGCCGCCATGCCAACGCAGCCACTGGGAGCTTCGGTGGAGCTCCCTATGGGGCCACGAAGCGTGTAAGGGGTGTGCCGAAATGGGTGCGGCGCCGCCATGCGAACGCAGCCACTGGGGCCTTCGGTGGAGCTCCCTATGGGGCCACGAAACGTGCGAGAGGTGTGCCAAATTGGGCGCGGCGCCGCTATGCGAACGCAGCCACTGGGGCCTTCGGTGGAGCTTCCTATGGGGCCACGAAACGTGTGAGGGGTGTGCCAGAATGGGGGGTGGAACCGCATGCGAGCGCAGCCACTGGGGCCTTCGGTGGAGCTCCCTATGGGGCCACGAAACGTGTGAGGGGTGTGCCAGAATGGGGGTGGAACCGCATGCGGGCGCAGCCACTGGGGCCTTCGGTGGAGCTCCCTATGGGGCCACGAAACGTGTGAGGGGTATGCCAAAATTGGGGGTGGAACCGCATGCGAGCGCAGCCACTGGGGCCTTCGGTGGAGCTCCCTATGGAGCCACGAAGCGTGTGAGGGGTGTGCCGAAATGGGGGGTGGAACCGCATG